TAAATTCCAATAGGTTCCATGATAAGATGGGTTTTTCAAACAAAAACTGAGGACGATTGGCCTGTGAGCAGGAAAAAATGTAGCTTCTTCACAAGGTCTAAAGATCAAAAGCTAAGACATCTCAAGAATACCAATCAGAAATAAAACTAGGAGGACTGTCTTTGTGTAAGCTGTTCATTCCATCTGGAGGGCCTTTCACTCAATCTCCTCCTCTCAAGGGTCACAATGTAATGTGTAGTTTAGCTACTTTTGTTTATTTCTTATCCCTTATTGTAGTATGAATAGATTGAGAAGAAAATAACAAATAACTGAGTCATCTATGTATTACTTTTATAAATCTTAGTTAAATGAATAAACGAATGCTTAAAAACGACATGAATGAATAAATGAGGTGTCATTTACACAATCTGTCTCTAGTATTCTAAGATTCTGGTATGTATGCACAGTATAGATGGTATCTTCATAAATCTGAAAACAAAGGAAATTATTACATCGAGAGACTGTAATCTCAACCAAAGCAAAGAATAGTTCTGAGAAGGAAGGTTTAGAAAGCAGTATGGATCTCAGTGGGTACATAATGGAACCACACGCAGAGCCTAAAGCTGCAAAGGGTTTTCTGGGTCTTAAGCATAGGAAAGAAGAAAAAGAAAGTCCTGTGGATTAAGTCAGAGGATAACATTTGGACCCATGAATGTTGTTGTTGTGTACCATCAAGTTGATATGACTCATAGTGACCCTATAGATGGAGTAGAATAGGGTCATGGGGTGTATTAGGCTCTTAGGGAAACAAATCACCAAGTCTTTGCTCCATGGAGCTGCTGGCGGGTTCTACCTGCTTACCTTTACATGAAAAACCTAGTGCTTAACTGGTGTGCCACCAAGGCTCCTCAACTATTGGATAAGGATTAGTAAAGAAGAAAAAGAATAGCATACTTACAAGAGGGAAACCCTCCACCTACAGCCAATACTCTTAGAGAACAAGATGGAGCCATATCAAGCACTCACTCGTAGGTCTTCAATACAATCTTCAAGGGCATCATAAGATGTAAAAAACATTTCTCTATTGGAAACTAAGAGTTTGGGCCGATTGATTTTTGAAGACTGACAAAAGGAGAAAATACCCATTCTGACTGATGTGCATCAAATAAAACAAACTTGGCCTTGCAGGTCACTTCCTCATTTTTATTTCACGCATGTATTCATCTCTAATCTGTTATTAATTTCATTTTCTGACGTGGCTTCCCTACTGAAAAGAGGATACACTGACAGGCAACTAAATATCTCAGTCCACTGAATAGTTATGCTTCTCATTAGAAATTATTAAATTGGCTTTCTTTATCTTAGGAGCTTAGGCAGCTCATTCTCTAGACAAAGAAAGTTTCAGACTTGATAAGCTTAGAAGTCAAACTTTGTAACGCTATTAGTACTTGTCATCACTCACCACCTTTATATTTTTCACAGAAAACACATAAAAATTGCTGGGAGGAAACCAGTTTACTTAATTTCTCACTTGCTTGCAAGTATCCTCTCCTTTCCTTCTCCCTTATAAGAGCAACTAAGGAAACTCAAAAAAGTCATGACCTCAGTTTTGGAAAAAGAAAACGCAATTAAAGCCTGATTACCGATTATAAAATGCAAAGATGTAGATAGGCCAAAAGATCTGATAAATTCGCAATCTCCAAGTAATTCTTGGATGAGAGTTATTTGACACGATTGATGGTCTGGGAATCATTATCACCTCAAATCAAATGCTATATATCCAGACGTAAGTGCCTGAAAAGTATTACAGTTGTTTCTTCCTGCTCATAATTTTGAAACCTTTCTTTTACCTATTTCACCCTCAAATTTTACCTTAATTGATGAATCATATCTTTCTTAGATGAGAATGTCCATGGTTTAGTGCTTCAAAGATTTTAGAGGGGTTTGTTTGTGTGTTTGTTTTTTACAGAAGTGAAAGTAAGGAACGATGGCTATTGTAGAAGGGTGATATTACTCATTACCACGCGCTGCATTCCGTGAGATAGCTGAGTCTTTTCTGATCTTGTTATCAAGAAGAGTTAGATTTTTCCCAACCAGCTTCTTTAATTTTGATCTTATAGACACTGATAATTACATAATTGATCATGTGTCCCTTTTCATATAATCTGCTGGAAAACCGGAAGCTAATTGTATAGCCTGTTGAAAACAAATGTAGACCTCTTTATATTATGTGTATTTTATCAGCCTCATACTTGGCTCAATATTTATGCCTGTGCCTGTTGTTCTTTATTATTTTACACCTGATTTTCTTCATCATGCTGTGATATGCATCCTTTTAAACTAACTTCAATCCTTTCTGGGAAATAGAGGGACAAATAATTAAAAAATAAAGGACAAAGCGAACCATGACATCCAATTTATTTGCATTAGAAGTAGTAAAAAGTTCCCCAGTCCCTGCCCTAAACACTATCCTTTCTCAACTCAAGTGGGTGCCTGCTTCACTCTTGAAGTGTATCTTATTAAGCTTCAGGCATCTTTCTAACCTCGAGAGAAGGACTGACTTCATTTCTTTTAAAAATGTTCATGCGTTAATAAAATTGTGGCTTAGCTCTTTTTTAAAAGGTAGTAAACATGATTTGTTAAACATTATTCCATTCAAAAGTCATTTGTATGTGCTTATATGTCCATAGAATATGCTTTTGTTTTGGAATTAGTCTTTCAATAAGTAATTATTGAACTACAACAATGATTAATTTTATTGGCTTGAATAATGGGTACTATTACCAGGAGGAGGCCAAAAGTTTCAAGCCTCTCCACTCCTCAGTTCTTGTCCCACTCACAAGAAAGATTTCAGGTGAGGGACAAAAGTCAGACCAGAGTCAGAGAAAAGCCCTAACAAAACCAGTGAATTTATTGAAGGGGATACTTTGAAAAATAAGTCCAAAAATCCCTTAGCTAGTCTAAAAGGGCTGGCAAAAAGTAAAGCTGGATCTTATACGAGGGGCTAATCCCCAAAACAGAATTTTTTTCAAAGCTCTGTATTTAAATTTTTTATCACCTCCAAAACGCACTCTATTACACTTAACACATTTGTCAAATCTGCGATTCCATTGTTGGAAGCATTTTTCTTTTTTTCTTCTTCTCTTTTTTAACATTTTATTAGGGGCTCATACAACTGTTATCCCAATCCATACACACATCAATTGTGTAAAGCGCATTTGTACATCATTTCTCAAAACATTTTCTCTCCATTTAAACCCCCGACATTAGGTCCTCATTTTTCCCCTCCCTCCCCGCTCCCCGCTCCCTCATGAGCCCTCGATAGTTTATAAATGGGTATTTTGTCATATCTTGCCCTGTCCGACGTCTCCCTTCATCCACTTTTCGGTTGTCTGTCCCCCAGGGAGGAGGTCACACACAGTTCCATGTAATCGGTTCCCTCTTTCCTACCCATTCTCCCTTTACCCTCCCTGTTTTGCCACTCACACCACTGGTCCTATAGGGCTCATCCGGCCTGGATTCCCTGTATTTTCAGTTCCTAGTTGGAAGCATTTTTCAACCTCATCTGTTTGGATGCCTGACAGCACCTCCCTTGATTTTTTCTTCTCCTCTTCTACATCATCAAATTACTGTCCTCTCATGTATCTTTTCATTTGCAGAAACAAAAAAAAAGTCTCAGGGAAAAAGGTCCGGTGAGACAGGTGTGTGGGGCAAGAGAGGCATGCTGTTTCTTGCCCAAAACTGGCTCACTGCAATGGCTGCAGGAGTAGGTGCATTGTCATGGTGGCAAAACCAGTCCCCCTTCTGCCACAAATCAAGCCTTTTTGTGTTGCACACTGTTGCACAATATTTTCAGAACCTCTAAAGAGAAAGCTTGATTAACAGTCTGACTGGGTGGAACAAACTCCAAATGCATTACCCCCCCTCATATCGAAAATAATTGAGAATTGTCTTGATTTTTTATTTCACTTGATGAGCTTTATTTTCAGGTGAGGTGATGATATGCCTTCCACTGGCTTAATTGATGTTTGCTTCTGGGGTCATAATAATAGCACCATGTCTCATCACTAGTAATGACCTTGGAAAACAGTCTGGGTCGCTTTGGTCCTGTTCTTTCAAAGAACGGCTTGTTTCCCCTCAGTGCTTTTTTTGCTTGTCAGTCAGAACCAGAGGCACAAACTTCACAGTGACCCTTCTCATTCCCAAATCTTCTGTTAAATTTTGCTGAATTGAGCTCCAAGATAGTCCAGATAACTTCCCCATCTGCTCAATGGTCCATCATCAGTCTTTGAGCACAAGTGCATGAATTTTGTCCGCATTTTCATCCATTTGGTAAGTTGACAGATGTCCAGAACAAGGTTTTTCATCAATCCACATTTCATCTTCTTTAAAATGAGAAAACCAGTACTACACGTGTATTTTTCCCATTACACTGTCCTTGTAAGCTGTGTTTAACATCACAACTGTTTCTGCGGCATTTTTCTGGAGCAGGAAACAAAATTTCACAGCCTCACACTGTTCTCTTAAATCAGCCATCACAAAACATGATGTTTGAGTGAAACTGCCTTTACCAAAAACTTCACTGTGACCAGAGAGAACCTTCCTAGGCGACGCCACTGGGTGCATTGGTTCAGAGTGAGTTGCTCAATGCTCATCTAGTGGGAAAAATGTGTACTAAAAAAGTTCTGCCCAGTGGAGCTTTTATCCGGGTTGTTTTGTTTTGTTTTGGCGGGTTCTCCTCATATTCTGGAAATGATGGACCTCCAACCATAGGCTGGCTTTCTGGTGGGTCTTCTGCTATTGGCTGATCCTATATCATGTACCTCCTGTTTTCAAGTACGTACATCTCAGCACCCCAATACTCCAGACTTCATATTGTGCTCTCATCTCAGACCCCAAACTGAAGAGTCTATTCAGTCATTGTGGGAGTAATGTAAACCTCCTGTCTTTTCCCATCCAGCCTTTTCAATATCCTGGTCTCTTCCATTGATGAGGAAATGTGTCATATCACCTGCCTTCACCTTATTTTGTGCTGAAGAAGTCGGTGTGAAAATATATTTCCACCTCTCCTCTGTGTTACAACTTCTACCAGATCCCTGTCTCCATCATCTCTTCGCCCCATGCCAGTCTCTGACTAGCTAACAGTAGGATTATATTTAGGAGCATAAACTATGTTTTCTCTCCTGCAGGAGCCTACAGTGGGAAAGAAGGCTGGAGGGAAGAGCCACACAAAGATGGTCTTGGAATATAGAAGCCATAGGATACAAGAGATCACTGAAAGGTTTTAAACCAAAAAATATAGATAAAAACTATTTCTTGAGAACATTCTATGCACCAGTTATCACACCAGGCAATTTATATGCATCATATGTCATGTTGTGTTCATTGTTCGTTGCCACTGGGTTAATTCTGACTAGTGGAAATCCTGATGTGATAGGTGCTAACATTACCTCTTTTTTACCCATGAGTGAACTGTAACACAAAGAACAATTAACTTCCCAAAGACTAAACAAAAACATACATGGGAGAATGAGATTCAGACCCCAACTGCTCCAGCTTCAGAGACAAACCTAATTCTACCACTCCTTGAAAGATCACGCAGACAATGTTGCACTGAACATATTGGAAAAGAAGGTGAAACAGGAGGGGAAGTTTGAAGTAACAAGGGCATGAGTTGGAGCAAAGACAGTAAGAATAAATAGTAATTTCAAAAGAGTTGTATTTTACAAAAGAATAATTGAAACTATAATCAGTACAAAGAAAGAGGAAATGGATCTTCATGAGTATGAATAAATTCGTATTTAAATGGGGTCAATTTTTGTTAGAACATTTTGAGTAATAGCTTCCTTCTGTTAAAAAACGTACTTTGAGGTAGCATAGGTGTTTATTTCTGAGCTCCAACCGTTTTTCATGGTGACAGGCATCAGCACATGACGGTATCTCGAGGGCCCGCATCAGGAACATGCAGTACTTAGGGGAAAGAGTAACAGCTGTTTTTTCAGGATATGAATTGCTACAGAAATTTAAGTCAGAGAATTTCTGTTAACAGAAGGTCCATTCAAGCAAACCAGCTGCTACCAACTTGTCTACAAGTTAACTAATGAGAGTCATGAGATGATCTCAAACTCTTTTTGTGTAAATACTTTGTTTTTTCTATAAAGAGTCACAGCAGTTTACTTCCTATTTAACAATTTTTGCAGACATTGTTCAGTGATATTGTGGACAATTGACACAATGCACGAACGTTCTTATTATTTCTCTTCTGTTTTCACTAATCTAGTTTCGTTTCCCAAATACTTGATGCTCTTACTGAGTTCCATCACATCAGAGCCGTGAATAGTGAGCAAGAGACCAAGAGATTAAATGGCTACAAAAGATTTGTGGGAAAATTACATGACCTTTTACTTCCAATGTTCTATGAAATTTAAAATTTTCCCTCTTATCTTGCTTTAGTTCTTCGTTTTGGCTTTTTCATATGATACTTAGTAAATTCATACTTGTCATATGATCATTGAGCCAATGCTGGAATAGGTATATTTAAATTGTGCTTTTGGTGGAGAATATTGAATACACCATGTTAAAAGAATAAACAAGTAAGCCTTAGAAGAAACACAACCAAAATACTCCTTGGACATGAAGTTGGCAAAATTGTGTCTCACTTACTTTGTGCACAGCATTAGGGAAAACAAATCATGTTCTAGAAACAACTGGTGAAATAGTTATAGGATCCAGGATTTTAAAGAAGTTCACAATTAAACTGCCTTTAAACCTTTGCAAAGATACAAGACATTGTTGCTTTTATTAGTTTCAAATATATGGATATCATGAAAGTAGAGGACTGGTGAAATGAGGCAAACTCTAATGAGATAGAATAGTAACAACATGAACTCAAACATACAAAGTTTCATTCTGTTATACATAAAATCACCACGAGTCAGAGCCTAGTCAAAGGCAATGAACATGTGAACAACAAGTGCCAAATGCCCTTCTCAAAGTATCAAATATATCTCATATCTCACCTATTACTATAGCTATAGTAACGTTGTAGGAAATTATTTACTCTATCTGGGTGCCTATAACCCTTTAGTCTGAGGATTATATTATACTGTGCTGTAATTATTTTTATAATTCTATCTTCATTAGATCCAAATGTTAAGAAAATATCTAAGTTTTCACTTAGCATGTACCTATACAGAAGTACTCAGTAGATGTTCTAACATCCTTAATAATTTTAACAATGAATATAGTGATATTTTTAATAGTTACCATTATTTGAGTCCCTACTTTGTATCTTTTAACAAAGTTTATCCAGTTATGTGACACAATAACATATAGGACACTTAAATTAACTATAGAAATTGAGTGTTAGAAAGGTACAAAGGTCCTTATTTCATTCCATAAGTTTTTTGGTTTTAGTTTTTGTTTTTAGTTACAAAATCACAACAGATGGAGTAAAAAATATTTTTAAAAACTAGTGAATATATTTTGAGGATTGATGGAGTCAAAATCTTTGGGTTTGGGAACAAAGGATCCAAAGTACTTTTAGATATAGAACAAGTCATTTGATACAATTATACCTATCAACGTGGCTTACAACTTCATAAAAAAATGTTCAGAGGACCTGAATATATATATTCAACATCAGTAATGAGTTCATAAGTCTCTTCAATAGCTACATGCAGTATAATCTATGTACAACATAGGTAAATATCAGAACAACTGTGTGATAGTCCCAGTAGACTAGGGAAACAAATCCATAGAAACCCGTATTTGTTTAAGACAGAATTTTCTATAAAGGGTAATTGTACATTAAGAAAGCATCCCAACCTAGTTCAGATCAAGTCCATAGTCTGATATTAGCCCATATGTCCGATAGCAATCTATGAAGTCCTCTTCAGCCTCACGAAACACCTACAGTGACGCTGAATGCAGGAAGATCACAGGCCAGTGGGTGCAAAGTCAGTGGCGGTAGAAGCATCTTAATGCTGGCAGGGGTCTGTCTCCATGTGGCTCCTCCAGTTCCCTGGGCTGCATCAGGGTAGATCCTTGTGGCTTCTCAGAGATGTCTCCCAGGAAGTCAGCAGAGAGAGACAAATGTCTCCCACCACAAAGGAGGAAAATACAGGAGTTCCCAGAATTCTCAGGAGACAGCCATGCCCACACAGAGGCCTCATTGGTTACATCTTGATTGACATTTGTAATCCTCTCAAATTGACACCAGATTATGTAACTACTACAAACCAGTTCCAGAATTTTAAAGAATTTTCCAGCAAAGCTACCTTGAAACCTTTCTGGAAATACATAATTTTGCCCCTGTGATTAAATTCAAACTTAGGTAAAATTTGAAAATGTCCACTAGAGAATATTCAACGATTGGAAATTTGGTGATGAATGAACACCTTACTGCAAACGAGTTCCAAACTGCTCACATAAAAATTAGAAATATTTCTTTTCTCATTTGAATTGTAGCATATTATTTCAATAGCAAATTATAAACAGTGTTGCTTGTCTCTACCACATATCAGTATAAGTCCTAAGGATGGGTGCATTCTTAGAAATAATTAATTAATTATTAATTAATTAATCCTCTTAGCATTAAAAGGTAAGACCCTTACCTCAAATAATTATTTGAGGTAATTAATTAATAATAATAAATTAAATAAATAAATAATAACAATTAATTAATTAATCCTCTTAGCATTAAAAGGTAAGACCCTTACCTCAAAACTACCTGTAACCTTGGACTAAGAACTGAAATTCCCGGATGGGAGAGGAAACAAATGATGGCCACCCCCAGGACTTTGGAAATGGTGGTCGTTGGACCTTGGATGGGACCCCTGGCTTTGTGGGTATCCAATTAAAAGGGACCCAGAACGATCATATACTTAGTATCTAACTCTCATACCAATTTATAGTCTCTGAAACCCACAGGAGCAGTTCTACTCTGTCCTATAGTGTTCCTCTGAGTTGGAATTGACTCTGTGGCAGTGAGTTTAAAATAGTCATTGTGTTCTCAAAGCCAGCTATCCTACCAAGTTTCCCTATTTCTGTAACTAGGTTCCCATTCTTTGAGGCTGAAAAACTTACACTCTTTGTGCACTTACTGCTTTCCCAGTTCCCAACCTCTGATACTGCCATTTATTCAAAACTTGAGTCTTCAAGCTTTCTCTTATATCAGCCCAGTGCCACTATCTCAGCATGCGTTCTTTTCATAAAACTCCTAGCACCGCTACTACAGTAGTTCCCTAATGGTGCACACAGTCTATGTTCTGCCACATGCCCCTCCACAGAAATATCAGTTCCATTTCCTATATGTTCAGCTGCAGTCAGTCAGTTGTTTACCTTGTGCAGAAACCTTAAATAATTCATTATGCTTACTAGGATCCTTCCAAAACTTCTTTTCTTTGGTCTCAAATCCCTTATCAACATGGATTTAATTTTCCTCTCTTCTCACACTTCTCAAGGTTTAATACCATGTATCAAACAACTTGGAATATCATCTCCAAGTCTTTGCATGAGCCAATCCATCGTCTCAGAGCCCTCTTATACTCTCTCTTGATTGTTAAAATACTAACAATATTCCTTTAAGAGTCTGTTCAAACCCCACCATTTGCATGACACCCTCTCGGAACTCTTTTACTTAGTTAATCAGATGAAATATTTCCACTGTTTGAGATTTTAGTTCTATGTGTACCTGTGTTTATCTACCAAACACCCCTACTAGACTTCAAATCCCTTGTATGCATGATTGATAAAGCACCATCACTACCAAAAAAAAAGGAAAAACACTGCCTTTTAGTAGATTTTGATAACTAGAAACCGTATATAGGGTTTCCAAGACTAGATCTTTCCAAAAGCAGATAACTCATTGTTAGCAACATAGTGACTTGTGGTTTTGAACCACTGACTTGTGGTTAGCAGCCCAATGTGTAATAAACTACATCACCATGCCTCTTTTGTCTGGAAGGGACTCAGAAATTTTGGTGAATTTGATGAAATCTACTAGTCATCGAAGGGGACCAAATCAGTATCTATATAAGTATAGTACTGGAAATATGATTTTATTTCCATATTAAGAAGGAAAATGTCCATCCAAAATGTCTAGAAAACGTTTTCCTTTGT